AGAGTGGATGGACTGGGAGGAGGGTGAGTTGGGATGCATGATGGTGCTGATGGTAGTGCGCATGGTGCGGATGGTGCTGCTGGTGATGATGGTGATGATGGTCATGATGGTGCTAACAACACGCACCTTGCTAAAGAAGGGGATGGTGATGATGGTGCGGAAGTACGGGTAGTTGATCCAGCTCTTCTCGTCCACCACAGTGCTGACGGCGGCACCAGGCGGTTCACCTGCAGGTGTGTGAACCAACAGCATGCATCAGCGCATGCACACATGCACACATGCACACATGCACACATGCACACATGCACACATGCACACATGCACACATGCACACATGCACTTTTACATACGACATACAAGTTTGCGAGGTAAAAGAAAACGGGGAAGGGATAGAAAAGGTGGGGCCAATAGAGATGTTGACTGTGAAAGGTGTTGGAAGCGCTGATGCCAAGAAACAGGTGCTTGATTGAAGAGCCTTTAGCAGCGCTGGAGGAGCAGCGTTGGAGGAGCAGCGCTGGAGGAGCAGCGCTGGAGGAGCAGCGCTGGAGGAGCAGCGCTGGAGGAGCAGCGCTGGAGGAGCAGCCTACCCAATCGGGAAGGCGGTTGCCGAGGCGGAAGAGGCTGTGGGTGAAGAGGCCCTCCCCGTGCTGCTCGTGGTAGTAGGGCGCGGATGACAGCAGCTGGGGGAAGGAGAAAGGGGGGAGAGGGGACGGCGGTTGGTAGGGATGTGAGGTGGCAGAGCGTGGGGGAGAAGAGCTTGGGAAGGAACAAAGGGCTGTGTTGATTGGCGGCACACAGGTGGAGAGGGATGGTTGGAAGGGCAGTCAGGAAAAGCTAGGGACGGCAGCAAGACGCGAGGGACGGCAGTAAGACGCGAGGGAGGGAGGGCAGGGGAGGGAGAGACTGACGGTGCCGCCCTGGCCGGGCTCCGTGGCGTCCTCGTTGGTCTTCCAGTTGGCGTAGCGCTGCCCGCGCTTGAATTCCTCCACTGCATGCGCAGCCAAGGGGCGTGTGGGGAGGAACCCGCGCGGTGAGGACACAGGGTAGGGAATATGAGGGCACGGGATATGAGGGCACAGCCGAGGGGTGGTGTGGTGGAGTGCTCTCCTGCGGTGTGTGTGTAATTGTGACTCGCCATGGTGGCGCCACCATTGTGCGCCACCCGTGCACGCACAGGTCGTGAAATGCCATGCCGCAGGGCACTCCATGGGAGGCCGTGCCGTGCCGTGTTGTATTTTGAGTCGACTCAAAACACAGGGGCATTCCATGGGAGGGCATGCCGTGCCGTGCGACACCAGACAATGCAGCCATGCTGTGTCATACCATGCCATGCCGGAAAGAAGCAAGCTGAAGGGCATGGCGGAAGGGCAAGGGGGGAGCGCAATCACGAGGGGAAGGCGGGGCACGCACGTGTGAAGGGCAGCACGATCCGCAGCTCCGTTAGATGCACCATTGCCACGTGGCCGCACCGTATTGGACTGAAGTAGTTCTGGGGTTCGCTTGTTCTCCGTTCCTGGGGACGGAGGAGCGGTTTTCTGCCCGTCGGTCGCCTACTTTTGGACGCGGGGCGAGAACGTGCGTGAGATAACGAAATTTGCGGAATCAGGGGCTATGAGAGTGGTGAACGGAGCGCGTGGGTCGATTTCCAATGCGCGTACACGAAGCTCCAAGTGAGCATGAAGAAAGTGCAGCAATCGAGGTAATCAGGGCGCTGGTCGAGGGAAAGGTGGCTACTGCGCCTGGAGTTGGGCATGTGTGGTCGACCCCTGAGGGCGTGTCCAGCGCGTTCGTTTACTATTCACTTTGCGGCTCAGGTACAGAGTTTTGTCCTGGTAACCCCGAAATTTTGTGTCCATTCGGACACGCACGATAAATTGACGGTTTCGGCGGACACCTTCCAGACGTGCCCACAGACGTGAGCCACACGTTTCCGAACCGAATGAAAATCGTGCACAAATTATGTACACGGCAGAAACGTCCAAAACCTGGCTGGCGAAAAAAAATAACGCTTACCTTCGCCAGGATTTCGTGACGTTTGCGAAGCACGGCGAAAAAAGCGGAAGAAGAATTGGAGTTGCATGCGCGGAAAATTGAGCCCTCCATTTTTCCCCCCTGGGTGGAGTCGTGGCTCGTAATGCGTGTTCGCGAAAGCGGGCGGGGCCTCTTTCCCGGGGCGACATTCGGTTACCCTGATTCTTTCGCGCGTCAGTTCTGTTATGTGCGCGCTGCGCACCCGCTCATCTGTCGAGCCACGGGCGGGACTCGTGTCCACTCCTGTCCCAGCATTTTGCTGTTGATACAGTAGGTGTACCTCAACACATTCACACTTGGCGAATCAATATTTCTGCGTGTGAAAAAAACGTCAAAAATTCGTGTTGGGGCAAAATGAACGCGCTGGACACGCCCTGAATGTGGGCGAACCGCCTGTGCCATTTTTCGCGCAACCACTGAGATTTCCGCGCCCCAGTCTTCCCGCGCCCAGCAGGGCAATTCCCCGCGTGCAGAAAGGGAGGCCAGGTGCGGAGCAATGTGGGGCAGAAAAGGGGTACCTCGCACAGAGCAAGCGAACTGGCGGGGGAATGGGGAACTAGCGGGACGCTGCCGAGCCGAGCCAATCAGGAGGCTCAAGAACTCGCGTGGTGAGAGAATTAGCCACGTGGAAGTCGCCTTGGACCCCACGGATTCCGTCCTCAGGTGCTGGAAGCAGTTACATCAGGTGCTTGATTTAATGAGCCACCAAGATGGAAAAGCATATTGTTGATTTGATTACTATTTTTTTGTTCGCCTCTTCACTTGGTAGCCACCTTGGGGTATGCATATATTGCACGTCATCATTAGAAAGTGTATGACATCGAGCTCTTTTGTCTGGCCTTCCTCCACATTGTTTCCAACCAGACGGAACATGACTATGAATGCCTCTATCCATTCCCAGAGCTGATCACATACCGTACTTAATCCAATTGTGCATAACAGTTGTGCTTCTTGGTCATCCCATCCACCTTCCTCACCAGCCCCCCATAGCTGGTTACCACCTTCACATTCGCTCCAGACAGCCTCGGGTAAATCCTCTTATACGCCCCACCGTTCACCTCCTGCCCTTCTCGAAAGAATATTATATTCCGGCCGCCGAAGAAGCTTTCCACTATGCTGCCCCCGCCCTGCACGCTTACGAAGCACACGCTCCGAGCCATCATTCTAAACTGCACGTCATTGAAACTCAATCCTGGCCACCGTTTCTGGAGATTCTGCATGATCTGCAGCCGTCGATTCTTCCCAAACCGCTCTTGCAGCGCCTCGTAATCTCCCAGGTCTTTCCCATCTCGTATCTTCTGTCGTTGGTCCTGCTCCAATGACATCCCCGGGTTGTTGTACACTACATAGAATCCCGCTTCTAAATAAGAGTCTACTATTCTCAGTAATGTCCGTATATCAATGAAATTCACCGGTGAGTGGCCCCATTCCCGCTCGAATTTATTTCCAATGACCACCAGCCGGGAGCCCTCGGGAATCTCCGGCCACACGGGGGGGAGCTTCCTAAAATGGGCGGCAAGAGTGGGCGGCTGCCAGGCTGGCGGGATGTGACTGTAATGAATGCCGTTGCGAAAGCCGTAGGCAGCGACATTGTCCTTCATGTCATCTCGTTGACACGTGGCGTCGTCTGTGTGGTTGGGGCTGAAGTAGTAGAGAGACGCCAAGGAATGCCGCCCGCAGGAGGTGGTGGAGCGGAGGGAGCCGTTCAAATAGTGCCAGTAGGCGGAGGGGAGGACGGCGATTAACTCGTACCCGAACTCGCCCTGGAAGAAAATGTCCACGCCGCCCTGGGATGCAGGAGAGGGCTGGGAGGGCTGGGGTTGAACGGAGGAGGCGAGGGGATCCGATGTACGGCTGGCATGGGTGGCATGGCTGCTCGTGCGCTGCTCAGGTGCTTCTTCTGCTGCAACCTCTGCCGCTCCTGCTTCTTCTGCTGTTGCTGATTCTTCTGTTGTGGCTGCTTCTGGCTCTGCTGCTGTTTCTTCTTCTGCTGCTGATGCCTCTGCTGTTACTTCTGCTGGTTTTGTCTCTGCTGTTATTGTCCCATCTGTTTCTTCTGCTGCTGCTGCTGGCTCTGCTGATTCTACAGCTGCCGCCTCGTCTAATGCCTCGGAGTCTTCCCCTCCATCACCACCTTCCTGTACCCTGGCGGACTCCCGTCTTTTAGCCTTCACATCAAGCGTTCCATCGTACTTTCCCTTCCTAATCCCAGTCTCATTGCCCGCATCCCTGCCGGAGCGATTCCCCCTCTCTCTCGCCCTCGTCCCCTCTTCTTGCTCCTGTTCTCCCGTTCCCCTGTCCTCGTTACCAGCAGCGTCATTGGCTCTCCTTAGCCCCTCCGCCTCTGCCCCTTCCGCTCGTTCCTCCCACTCGCTCCCTCTCCCCTCCTTCCGCCCATCTCCCACGTCTGAATCCTCCGCCGCCTCCGCCTTAGTCCTTACCACCACCGCCCCCAGACCCAACTCTCTATATATTTGCGTCCTTGCTCCGCTCGTTCCCCCGAAATGGCACCCCCAGAGGCCCCAAGGCGCAGCGAAACCCCTTCCGTCGTCCCACTGTGCAGTGCGGCGGAGGAGAAACTGCCGCAGGGGCAGCGTATCGGGCGCATAGACGGAATTCTGAACCGCGGACTCTTCCCCTGTAGGGGGAACATGGGGAAGTCACGGGCAAGTCAGGGGGAGTGCGTGGGGAGAATGGCACTGGAAAGAAGCGCGGGGGGCATGAGGGGGGAGGGGGAATCGGAGGCGGGAGTAGGACGAGCGGGAGCGGGGGAGGGGGAAACAGCGGTGGCCCAGGACCACGGGAACCCACGCGGGGAATGGGGATGGACGGAACGCGCCCCCGCAAACTTACAGGCGGGCAGAGGGGCTGGTTGCGGGGAGTCAAGCGGCGCATGCGCCATGCAGTCAAGGGGCAAACCTGCGGGGGGTGATGCGCGAACGAGGGGACGCGGATACGGGAAGGCGGACCCCGGGGCAAACGGGAGGGGGTGGGGGGAGATGGGGAGGTAGGAGGGGGAGGTGGGAGGGGAGGGGGAGGGAGAGAATTTATGCCGAGTTGGATCTGAATGTGTCGGACAGGGAAGATAACGAGAGTGCAGAACGCCCGGACCTTGCTGGAGGTGTTAGCTCTCGCGAAGCTCACCAGCAGAGGCTGGGTGCGAGGACAGTGTGGGGCTATTGAAGGGTGCGCTGCAATGGCGCACAGCGGGGGGCCTGGGCCCTGATGGCGGAAAAGCGCGAGTCGCGTGGAGCAGCCGCGAAGTCAGTCGTTATGTGCGCAAAAAGTAGCGGGAAAAGCTGGGGAGGTGGTGGAAGCGGGAAAAGTCCGCGTGGTGCCGTACCCGAGAAGAAGATTTTTGCAGTTAAAGCAGCAGCGATTACGACCAACACCAGCCACCAGAGGAAAATCCTCGCGGCTCCGCTCGCGACGCCCTTGGAGTGGAATCCCTTGGAGAGGAGCCGCGCCAGCGAAAATGGCTTGGCGCTGCTCGCCAGAAGCGAGCGATCACAGCAAGCGGCACTCCCGAGGCCGTGCGAGCAACCGAGGTGTTGATCGACGCACGGGACGCCCGTTTCGCAGCACGCGACGCTGCCCTGGGCACACGCTATTCCATCTGCCGGCGCTACTGGCTCGGCCGCATAGTCCCAGGAAAGCTTGCAACAGCGTGGACCACAGGTAGCCGTCCGATCCATACTTTAGGAAGATGCAGAGCCGTTGGTGACTCGGACGATGGCTCGAGAGGAACAAATAGGGGAATGCTTAGCTTCGGGGACGCTAAGGGAGGCTCGCGTTTTGGGTCGACGGTAGCGCTCTCAACTGTTTCTTACACGAGCGAACCTCCCCCTACGACTCAGAACTGTCACTGAGATGGTGCCGACTTCAAGAAATGCTGCGTGGGGAAGAGGTAGAGTGCTTTACTGTTCGAGGTGGGGCGCCATATCTGGTTGTACTTGAGAGTCAAGAATCTGCTGAAATGAATCTCGCAAGGACCGAGGCTGTCCAGCTTGGTGTGTGTGAAAGGAAGTGAGGGGCGCTGGGTTTGGGGCGGCTCGAGAGATCGGACGAGTCGCGCATCACGAGGCGGCGGAGGTGGAGGAACGATTTTGGGGCGAAGCGTTGAGGAATTCGACCGTGATTGGTTGCACCACCAGTATGGGGGCTGCTGGTTTGGTTGGGAACAAACCTCGCCGATTGGAAGTTGACCATGAAAGCAGCCCCCATTCAGGTTTGACCTGTAAACTGGGCTGGCTGGGCTTAGTTCTTGAAACCAGCGTTGCGCGTCAGGGCGCGTTTCTAGTACATCATTTGAGCGCTCAGAACAACACAAACGGGTGACTCAGGCAGGACTGCCTCTGGTTGGGTGCGGGCTTGAGAAAATCACTCGCATGACCGTTCCCTTCAGAAACGCGTTGCAGCATCTCTGATTTTGTTTCAGAACACGGGCCGGGGATGCATGCCGAAGCAAAGGGGGCTGGCTAGTCCAGCTGCGGGGCTTCCCTTACCTCCCATTCGCTGAAGAGGCTCGGCCTTCGTCCAAGCTAAGCCAAGTGTTTTCCCGTAAGGCGACTCGATAAGCTTTCTATGGCCTCTTGTTCCGCAGCCTTGGTTTCAACGCACAGCTAGCAGTTCGCTAGTGTACACGACGTGCG